CCTGAATATGTGTTTCATGGTAATGGAAAGGTACTGCTTTTCTAAGGAAGAAACATCTTAAAGGTTTTTATTTTATTTTTAATAGACAGATAGGATTTTAATAGATTTAGCATTAAAGGAACACTCCGACTTTTTGGGACTTTAGCCTATTCACCTTATCCCCCAGAGTTAGATAAGTCCATACATACCTTTTTCATCTCCGTGCTATAAGTCTGTTTGACGCACCCACCGCTAGCCTAGCTTAGCACAAAAACTGGATGTAAATGGTTGCAGCTAGCATACTAATCCAAATAAGTGACAAAAAAACGCAAACATTTTTCTATTTACATGTTGTGATTTGTATACCGTATTTTCCGCACTATACGGCGCACCGGATTATAAGGCGCACCTTCAATGAATGACCTATTTTAGAACATTTTTCATATATAGGGCGCACCGGATTATAAGGCGCATAAGATACTGCAGTCAAACGTTTGACTGGGTTTGCGTTATGCATCCACTAGATGTCAACAAATGTCAACCAAAAAGTCAGATAAAGTCAAACCTTATTAAGCTTTCTGACAACTCCGTTCACTCCCATGAACGTTGAACGTTGTTCAAACGTTAAAGGAGAACTCCGGTCAATTTTAACATTGAGCTAATTTTTTGTAAATTTGGAGTGCTGTCAGTACAGATAACAACGACAAAAACGTCTCGGTTACGTATGTAACCCTAGTTCCCTGATAGGGAACGAGACGCTGCGTCAAACGCTGTGGGAACGCCCCTGCGTTGTGCGTCATGAAGCACGTATGGAATCAGCCCAATGGAGAGACGGAACGTCATAGGCGGGTGACGTCATCGACCAGGAAACTATAAAGCACCCCAAAAACACAAGCGCATCAGCTTCTGATAGGCCTGAAGGAGCGCTTAACGGGAATGCCGGGAGTATGGCAGAACGACGCAGCGTCTCGTTCCCTATCAGGGAACTAGGGTTACATACGTAACCGAGACGTTCCCTTTCAAGGGAACTTCGAGCTGCGTCAAACGCTGTGGGAACGCGAATACCCACGTCGCCATAGGAGCAAGTGACCGTCATGTGAGATCTAGCGCACAGCGGACGAGAGCACTTGCACGGTGAAGACCATCCAGTCGCATCACAAACCTCACTCAGGGAAACTCCTGACAATAAAGCTTTGGATGCAGCCATACTCCTAGTAGAGCGGGCTCGTACAGCCAAAGGTGAAGGCTGACCAGCCGACTCATAAGCACGTGAGATAGCCTCGACCACCCACTTGCTCATTCTCTATTCAGACGCAGGACACCCTTTCCTGGGTGGCCCGAAACATACAAATAAATGTTCTGATTTCCTCCACAGGGCAGCTCTGTGGACATAAGCGTCTAACGCCCTCACTGGGCAGAGCAAATTAAGTTTCTCCTGGTCTGACGACAGAAATGGAGGAGGACAGAAAGCCTGCAGAACTGTAGGTCTAACAACATTAGTAGGGACCTTAGGAACATAACCTGGCCTAGGGTATAGAAAAGCCTTAACCATACCAGGCGAAAATTCCAGGCACGAACTGCTGGCCTCAGCCTCAAAGTGCCACGAAGGAAACGAGTTATAAGCGGGTGTCTCCCAAGAAAAACTCCACTGAAAGGGACGTGGTAAGCAACCAGTGCCGCCACATACACCTTTAGTGTGGAGGGGGATAACCCTGTGGAGAAACGCTCCTGCAGGAATTCCAGCACTGCACCCACTGGGCAGTTAACTGGGTCCTACAGGTGTTCTCCATACCAAGAAGTGAAAAGTTTTCACTTCAAAGGCATATAGCTTCCTCGTGGATGGAGCTCTGGAGTGAAGGATGATCTCAACAACCTCGGTTGAGAGACCGGAATCTAAGAGCTGGGCCCCCTCAGAGGCCAAGCCCACAGTTTCCATAACTCTGGGCGGGGGTGAAATATCATGCCGCCCGCCTGAGAGAGTAGATCCCTCCTGACCGGGAGCTCCAAAGGAGAGCCGTCCAGGAGAGAAACCAGGTCCGCAAACCATACTCGGGCCGGCCAGAACGGGGCTACTAATAGTAGGCTGACCCCGTCCCGGCGAACCCTCTCCAGAACTCCTGGTAGCAGAGCAATCGGGGGAAAAGCGTACAGACGTGACCTCGGCCACGGCTGCACCATAGCGTCCAACCCCAGAGGGGCTGGATGACTGATGGAGAACCATAGACGACAGTGCGATATCTCCTTGGAAGCGAATAGGTCCGCCTCGGCGCGACCGAAACTCAACCAAAGGAGCTCCACCACCTCGGGGGTGGAGTCTCCATCCCCCCGGCCTCGGCCCCTGCCTCGACAGAGAGTCCGCTACCACATTCAAATACCCAGGAAGATACATTGCTCTCAGTGATAGTAACTTACCTAGGGACCACAGGAGGACCTGACGGGCCAACTTGTAAAGCCGGCGAGACCGCAGGCCCCCCTGACGATTTATATAAGAGACCACCGACGTGTTGTCTGACTGAACTAGCACATGATGACCTCTCAGGTCTGCTAGGAAGTGTTTCAGAGCCTGAAACACCGCCAACATCTCTAGACAATTTATATGCCATGATAGATGATGGTCCTGCCACAGATCTTGGGCTGGACGACCACTCATGACCGCCCCCCACCCTGTGAGGGAAGCATCCGTCGTTAGCTTTACGCGACGACAAAGAGCCCCCAGCACAGGATCTTAGGATAGGAACCAAGTTTCTTTCCACAAGACCAGAGCACGAAGGCAGCGCTGCGTGACTTTGATCGTGTAGAGTGGATTTCCCCTCGGGGAGAATCCCTTGGTCCTGAGCCACCACCGCAGCGGTCTCATGTACAACAGGCCAAGGTATAACGTTGGACACTGCTGCCATCAAACCCAACAGTTTCTGAAACTGCTTTACAGTGAGTAGCTGGCCTAGCTTTACTGTTTCAAGGCTGAAGAATCGAAGCGATGCGGGTGACCTAATCCCAAACAACGCCCAGAAAAGTGGTCTCCAGGGAAGGAGATAAACACTTTTCTTCGCATTCAGCCTCAACCCCAACTTCCTGATATGCGCGAGGACGACATCTCGATGTCGAACCGCCATCTGCTCCGTAAAGTACAGGGAGATAGCTAGACCGAACGGAAGAACCCTATACTGGAATGCCTTGCCCCCGAAGGCAAACCTCAGGAACTTCCTGTGTTGTGGAAGTATGGAAATGTGGAAGTAAGCGTCCTTTAGATCTATCGTGACAAACCAGCCCTCGGACCTGATTTGTGACACGACCTGCTTGATAGTGAGCATCTTGAATTGAGCTTCCCTACCGAGCGATTTTATAGGCGCAAATCTAAAATTGGACGCAACCCCCCATCCTACTTTGGAACGATGAAATATCGGCTGTAATAACCTAGCTCCAAACTGGGAGGAGGAACCCGTTCTATAGCCCCCTTTTGAAGGAGCGTTTTCACCTCTTGTTCCATTACCAGAGCCTGCTCGGGGCCCACACTATGGGCAGAACCCCTCTGAGTTTCGGTGGACGACACCTAAATTGGATCGCATAACCTCTTACTACTGTCTGCAGGACCCACTGAGATATTCTTGGAAGGCTTTTCCACTCTGCCAAACAAATTCTATTAAGGGTACCAGTCTCTCGAGACTGGTCTCCGGTGTAATTTGAGCAGCAAACACAGCGCCCTGTAACGGCGCACCGGCAGGGAACAACTGGTTTGACCGCTCTGAGACCCTCCTCAGAGGGAGCGAGCGTCCCTCGGGAAAGCACTCGCTGGGACCGTCTACGCCCCGGCATGAAGGCGGGGTTGGCAGAACGGGCCCCTTAGGGCACCGAGGAAGAATGGGCACCGTAAAAAGAGGTGAACACCTTTCTCCCTCGATGGGGACCACCCTCAGTGTCAGAGGCGGCGAGCGTCCCTCGGGAAAGCGCTCGCCGGGACCGTCTGCGCCCCGGCATGAAGGCGGGGTTGGCAGAACGGGCCCCTGAGGGCACCGAGGAAGAATGGGCACCGTAAAAAGAGGTGAACACCTTTCTCCCTCGGTGGAGACCGCGCTCAGCATAACCAATATAACTGTCCTCAAAACAGTTCTATTGCTTTCTTTATATATATATATATATATTATATTATATTTATTTTTCAAAAAGCTTTGGCTGAGAGTGCCGCGTCTGGTCCCACTGTCCAGCAGGGGGAGCGCGAGACGCGATACTCTGCTTTGCTGCGCCTATGCGATGAGCTCGTGGACGGCCGGGGCTGCTCCCGCCCAGCAGCCCCGTGGACGTGAACTTTTAATGGAAGAAACCTTTTAAAAGCTGCTGCCTGCTTCTTTTCTTCCTGAAATTATCAATGACAGTATTAACTAAGTCACTGAATAACCCCGCAGGGGAGAGAGGATCATCTAAAACAGGGGTCGGGAACCTATGGCTCGCGAGCCATATATGGCTCTTTTCCGGATTTTATATGGCTCTCCAATTTTCAAATGTTGACTGAAAATACACCCTCGAACATGATGATAAAATTATTTTGAAACTATTAGCATTTCTGATTAATGTATAATTCTGAATGTGTAAAATTAAATTAAATATGTTCAAAATATTTAGGTAAGAGACTCGCAGCTTAATATGAATGACAGCGGCGTTTGGCCTGTAGCTAGCCTACCTTTCAGAGTGCTGAATTTTAATTGGCCGACGGTTAGGCCTGCGTCAAGTCAAGATCAAGTTAAACAACTACCTAGCTGGCTGAATTAAAAATCATCATCAACGAGAGGAAAATGGCGAAAAGAAAAAAAGACGACGATTACCGTTCATTTCGGCCTGAATGGACGGATCAATTTGCATTTGTGGAGAAGTTGGGGTCCGCAGTGTGTCTCATTTGTAATGAACGTATTGCGTCGCTCAAAAAGTCAAATATTAAGAGACATTTTGAGACGCACCATGCAGCATTCGCCGCAAAACATCCCGATGGAGAATGCAGGAGAAAAGCTTGCGCTGAGCTTCAGCGGAGAATGGAAACCGGACAGCAGCAGCTGCTATCATGGACTAATAAAGGCGGGAATCTGAATTCTGCAAGCTTTGCTGGTGCTCTGGAGATTGTGCGGAGTGGGAAACCATTTACAGATGGAGACTACATTAAGGGTTGCATGCTCAGTGTTGCAAAAGAACTGTTTAACGACCTCCCAAACAAGGATAAAATTATTCAAAAAATCGAAGAAATGCCTTTCTCTGCAAGAACTGTTCATGATCGTGCACTGGTGATGGCACGCCAGATAGAGGAGATGCAAATCAACGACATCAGTTCAGGTAGTTACTTTTCTCTTTCCTTGGATGAGTCTACCGATGTGAGCAATATAGCGCAGCTAAGCATAATCGGGCGGTATGTGACGGGTGATACAGTGCGTGAAGAGAGTCTCGTTGTTTTGCCGATGAAAGATACAACAAGAGGTGAGGATGTGTTAAAATCTCTGATGGACTTTGCTGCAGAGAAAAAGCTCCCACTGAATAAGCTTATATCTGTGTGTACTGATGGAGCACCCAGTATGTTAGGGAAACATAAAGGATTCGTTGCCCTTCTGTGTGAGCAAGAGAAGCGGCCCATCTTAAACTTTCATTGCATTGTGCATCAAGAGGCACTGTGTGCTCAGTCGTGTGGAGAGGAACTTCGCGAAGTGATGTCATTGGTCGTTCGCATTGTGAACTTCATTGTGGCCCGAGCTTTAAATGATCGCCAGTTTAAGGCCCTGTTGGATGAAGTGGGGAGTAATTATCCAGGGCTGCTACTGCACAGCAATGTGCGGTGGTTATCCAGGGGAAAAGCACTCGCCCGTTTTGCTGCCTGTTTAAATGAAGTGAGGGCATTTCTGGAAATGAAAGGAAATGTTCATCCCGAGCTCAATGACATTGAGTGGCTCCTGAAGTTTCACTACCTGGTGGATATTACATGTCATATGAACCACCTCAATGTGAAAATGCAAGGCATTGGGAACACAATCTTGTCCCTGCAACAGGCAGTGTTTGCATTTGAAACAAAGCTGGAGCTGTTTATCAGGGACATAGAAAGTGGCCGTCTCCTGCATTTCGAAACATTGCGGGCATACAGAGAGGAATGCTTAGCGAGGGACGCCACTCATCATTTTGACCTCCGTAAGCTCGCAGCCTTTACGTCTGATTTACTGATGTCATTCAAATCACGCTTTGTGGACTTCCGCAGACATGCCGATTTGTTCAAAGTGATAACTCATCCACATGTGTGCACCGTGGATACACAAAACCTGAGTGTCTTCCCTGGAATCTCCATCGGAGATTTTGAGCTGGAAGCTGCTGAACTGAAGGTGACGGATATGTGGGTGTCAAAATTTTTCACTTTGAATTCCGAACTGGAAAGCCTCGCTCGTCAGCGGGCAGAACTGGCAAAGCAACATAAGTGGGCAGATATGAGAAAACTCCAACGTGAAGACAATCTCATCCTGAAAACCTGGAACGAACTTCCAGCCACTTTCAGCACAATGCGTCGCGTCAGTGTTGCTGTCCTGACAATGTTTGGCTCAACATACACATGTGAGCAGTCCTTCTCACATCTGAACAATATCAAAACCAACCTGCGTTCAAGGTTAACAGATGAAAGCCTTAATGCCTGCATGAAGCTGAATCTCACTAGTTACGACCCCAACTACAAAGCACTCAGCAAAATGATGCAGCAACAGAAATCTCATTAATGTAAGTAGGGTGCAATGCACTTCTTGTTAATCACTTGTCTATGATGCCCGTTTCTCAATTTTTGTGGTGTCTTAGGAGTGCTAGAAAGTATGATGGTATGAAGTAGCCTTAGCTTGGGTGTCAATGAGTGAAAAAAAAACAGCGTTATTGCCACCTACTGGTGTTGTTATTAAATAAAAATTGGCAAATATTTCTAATACACAAGTGTAAACTTTGCTGTGGCTCTTTTGAAAAATTTCGAAAATTTTTTTTGTTTGTTTGGCTCTTCTTGGTAAAAAGGTTCCCGACCCCTGATCTAAAAGAAAGCTTTCTCTTTCTGTTTCATGTTGGAAAAAATCATTTTACCACAAATCGGCAGCCTGACGCAGTTCTCGAACCACGTCAGTACTGCCTCCTCACTCACGCTCACGTCCTTTAGCAAATCAGCCTGGTATATGGCTGCAATATAGACATTGTATGCAGACACGACGCAGACTGACCTGCCGCCAAATACACTTTACAAAGCCGAAATATTTCATAATGGCTTGGAAGGTAATGCCGGTGCTTTAAATGACAATGCAGCCTCGGAAGAGAGATAGCTCGCAAGCGTCTCTTCTACCCGCGGCAAAGCGCCGTCTTTTCTTTTCAAAACCCTAGCCCCCGCTAAATCTGAATATGTGAATGATTGGGGGCTAAAATTATATCAGAAGCCTGCTTCTTCCATAATCTCGACACCTCAGTATGGAGATCATGAAAAAAAACGGCAAGCACCGGCATGGAGGTTGCACACGGGAAGGGAGAAATCTTTCATCTAACTTAGATTTAATAACAGACTCCTGCCTATAGCCACTGGCCACTCAATGCTTAGTGTTGATACAGCTCGAGTGAGAACCTCCATGAGCTCTTCGCTTTCGGGAGTGTTAGGTGGCGAGTCCTCCACATCTCCCTCGTCAATACTGCTATTTTTATCTCCTAGTTTTTATAACTAACGTTAGATAGTTGCAGTACTGGTGCCTCAGCCCGGGCGGAAGAAACCGCAGAGCGTGCTTCCAAACCGGGCTGAGACACTGGATCTAACAGGTAAAGGCAGAGATAAGGCAGAGCCCGTCTCTAACCCCGCTGAAAGATCCATTTTGCGATCCCCACGATAAGTGTCGCCGCTCAGCCTCGGCAGAAGCGGGACTCGAACCGCGGGGAGCGCGCACCGAGCACTCTCCTCAAACGCAATGCTCGCAATGCTCGCAGCCAGCCCCCTCGAGAGCTGACTGGGCATGCCGCACTCCCAAACAAACAACACAAAGAACGTGTGTATCCCCGCCCGTTAGATAGCGCGACCAGGGAGGAACACACTTCTTAAATGCCGTTCGCTCGCCATAGTCTCTCATACAAAATTGTTTGTGTGGTGTAAATGTGATAACTCCTGCCTAGCAAATACTAAAGACAGACACAGTGTTTACATTCAGACAGATTCACATATAGCGCGACTGAAGGCACAGAAGCTGATGCGCTTGTGTTTTTGGGGTGCTTTATAGTTTCCTGGTCGATGACGTCACCCGCCTATGACGTTCCGTCTCTCCATTGGGCTGATTCCATACGTGCTTCATGACGCACAACGCAGGGGCGTTCCCACAGCGTTTGACGCAGCTCGAAGTTCCCTTGAAAGGGAACCGGTGTTGCCTACACCGTGTTATCCTCTTTTTAAAATGTGCACCCTGTTGACTTAAACGGGACAAGTTCTAAACCTGCTTTTAGCCTCTTAACAACCTTAATGTGTCATTACAAGTGCACAGCCATGTGAGTGAACACGGTGAATCTGACTCCAGTTAATGTGAAAGATATGAATAAAAATGATGTTAATTCAGCCAGCTCACATACCCGTATTTTCTTCCTGTTTTCGGTCGAAGTCCACAGTAGGCGATTGTCGAGTGCGCGCGCGCGATCATTGGTAACTAAGCAACAGTGGAGACTCAGACTGTCAGCTGTCAGCCGATGACAGTGCTGTGTGGTGTTCTGAGAATATCAGCTCAAATGGATAGTTCATCTGAATCAGATGTTGAACACACGGAGGAGGTTTGCTCGCGCGCGCGCGCGAACTCGACAGTCAACTACTGTGGACTTCGGCCGAAAACAGGAAGTAAATACGGGTATGTGAGCTGGCTGAGATCCTGCCTTCGTGAAAGAACAGAAAACTCCTGCCTTCGTGAAAGCTCGGATCACAGTTGAGAATGATATATCAGCCCAGGCATCCACGATCCAGTGGCAGATAGTGGCGTAAGTCGCCCGGCGCTGTCTCCCCGTCTTGGTGAACGTGTGTTCACCATCCATATATAAGGCGCTCCGCATTATAAGGTGCACTGTCGTTTTTTGAGAAAATTAAAGGCTTTTAAGTGCGCCTTATAGTGCGGAAAATACGGTAATCACAGAGTGTACAAAAAACAAAGTCACATGAGACACAGACATATTTTAACCGTATAAATACTGGGAACTATATTCTCTGAAGGCGAAGCACTGCTACTTGGGCGGAGTGATAACCGCAGCACCTGAGAAGCACGACCTGCTCATCAGGTTCCTGAGAGGCACCAGGAGGTTAAATCCTCCATGACAGTGCCTCATCCCCTCCTGACACCTCTCTGTGGTCCTTTCTGGTCTACAGAGAGCTCCCTTCAAGCCACTGGAGTCAATCGAGCTTAAAATCCTGTCTCTAAAGACAGTGCTCCTGACTGCCCTGAGTTTGGGCCAGCCTTGTCTCACATCATCTACAATCGCCAATTGGAGACGGTTTCTTCCCGTGTGTTGGGTACAAATAGGTAATGTGCAGGAAGTCTGGCTCGGTGTCTTGCTTGCAGTGCCATTACCCTCTAACAGGGTGATATGAGCGCCTACTTGCTTTCCCACTCTGTGAACCCTGAATCGAGTTCCTTCAGCATCCTTCGGCAGTCAGATGTGGAAGAGCCGCAGGGACGTGCGGTCAGGGTAGGCAGTGCCTCACCAAAGGAAATGTTGACATTACATTTATTAATTACAAGAGCTTTATCAATTCACCACATTATTAATTGCATTTATTTTATTCCAAATATTAATTTTTGTAACAAAATTTTTCAGGAATACACATATAATATACTCCTTTTGCCATTGTTTGCTCCAAAAACCATTGTTTCATGCAGGAAATTCAAGGCCATGGCCATTGAGGCAGAGGTTAGCAGTGCCTCTTTGGTCCATAGAACGTAGTTTACGTAGATTTGCGCATGCGCAGTCGGTTCTCATGTTGTCTTGAATTATCAACATTGAGGCAGAGACCGAGCTTGCTTCATGTCATGTGATCCACTCGCTCTCACTCAATCCGCGCTTCTCGATACTTAGCATCTAGCGGCGCCTAGCGTTGGCTGTTCGACGGCTGTGAACCGTTGGATATTTGGATATTATGGATATTTATTACTTAAAAAGATTTTCAACATTGTCCTATGAAGAAGAAAGAGCTGTGGTCGCTAACGGGAAACCAACACCTGCCCTACAGGATCTTACCCAACAGAAGGGACAAAAAAATAACACGAACCTTTCAAACTGAGTGGTATCAAAAGAAGGACTGGCTGTGTGGCTGCAACCAGACTAACAAACTTTTTTGTTTTCCATGCCTACTGTTCTCCTCCAGCACCGACAGTGTGTGGGTGAAAGCGGGATATAGTGACCTTAACAATTTACCAAGAGCTTTGCTGAAGCATGAAAAATCTACGGCCCACGTCCACTGTCAGATCGCCTTGAAAACTTTCGGCAAAAGTCGTATTGACATGGCCCTGGATGAGCAGCACAGGCTCCAGATAAGCGCGCACAATTCAAAGGTAAAGGAAAACAGGGAGATATTAAAAAGCCTCATAGACGTTACATGCTACCTTGCCAAACAAGAGCTGGCTTTTCGGGGAAATGATGAGAGCAGTACCTCTGTCAATCAAGGAAATTACGTTGAACTGTTACATGTGTTGGCAGAAAAAGATGACAAGTTAGCTGCACACTTAAGCTCCTCAAATGTGTTTACCGGCACATCAAAACGGATTCAGAATGACTTAATTGAAGCCACTGCTGAGGTTATCAGAGGCCATATAAAAAATGACATTCAACCAACATCCTTTGTTGCAGTGGAAGTGGATAAGACCACGGACATTACAAATAAGGCTCAAATATCAGTAGTAATGAGATATGTCAACAGTGCAAGTGAAGTAAAAGAAGCTTTTTTGGGCTTTGATGACGTGAGTAGTGACAGAAGTGCACAGGGAATATCAGAGTATGTATTAGATGTATTAGAAAAGTATAACTGTGTTGAAAAGTTGATCGCACAAACCTATGGTGGAGCTGCAGTGATGGCCTCAGAGCTTAACTTGATACAGGCAAAAATCAAAGAGAGAGCACCTGAAGCCTTATTTACGCATTGCTATGCGCATAAATTGAATCTGGTGCTTTCACAATCAGCAAAATTCATTCCGTAGTGTAAAGTTTTTTTCAAGACTGTTGAAGGGCTAGCATCATTTTTCAGCAAGTCTACCAAGCGCACACATTTACTGGATGAAATTGTGAAATGTCGCATCCCTAAAGCATCATCTGTCAGGTGGAATTCAAATTCTAGGTTGGTACAAACTATCCTCCAACACCTACCAGATCTCTGCCAAGTGTTTCAGAAGATGAGGGATAACTCAGATGACTGGGATGGAGAGACCCTTGCTATGGCCTCAGGATTTAATCTCTGGCTCTCAAAAGCATCCACCTGTTTTCTCCTGATGTTATACAGTGGCACATTCAATTTGACTGTTGAGCTTTTTCGTTTGCTTCAAAACAAGGCAATGGACATTAGCATATGCTCTGTGCGCATCAGAGACACTTTGCGTGCTTTGAACGATCAGCGAGAGCAGTTTGACAATTTTTATGATCGCTTTGAAGAGAAAAGTAACGATCTAAAACTGATCAATAAGGAGACGCGCCAACAGACGTCTGTCAGAGATGAGAGGAGAAGATTATTCTATAGTGTTCATGA